CTAGGCAGCTCCGAAGGCATGCGTGGCGAGCTCTGCTTGGACACCGCTTCCACGTAGCTGCTGACTCGGTCCGCTGTTTATGTCCTGAAGCGCTATCCGGCTCGATCTTCCCTGTCAATTTGATACACGCTTGATCGAACGACTCCCCGTCATCATCCTCGATGGAATGATCCCGTGCCCGCCCACACTAAAACCTTCGGGTTTGATCCTATGGACTCGTCTAAGTGAGACAAACATATCCATATGGTTAAGATGCCATGAAATCAAGCTTAAGTAAATAGAGAATCAAAATAAGCTCGGGAGGAGGAGGAGTTTTATACCTTTGCTCTGAGAAGGGAGGCTTCGAGCAGAGGTGCTCGGTACGTTCGTTGAGGTCCAAGGAGGCTAGGGATTAAGTCCCTGGTCTTGGTGTAAGGCCTAGGTATGAATTCGATCACGAGCGAATTTGGGTGTTGGTCTCGAGCTATGGTAGAGGCTCTGTGGAAGGGGAATGTGATGGGGCTTTGGCTTCTTTCACTCTTGTGAAGGTGTGGGCACAAATAATTGAAGTTTGGTGGAGTGTGGAGGTGTATTGGGCTCTGTCCTAGTTTTCGGCAGGGTTTCGAGCTCAAAATTGGGCTCTGGCAATGAGAATGGGTGAGGAAAAATGGTTGGAATGCACTGAGGGGATCTTAGGGAAGCTCTGTGTAAAGTTTGGAGAGACCTCTCTAAGGAAATTTCAGCACTTAGCTTAGCGGCCATGTAGGTGGCCTTTTATAAAAATGGGATTATAGTGGCTGTCGTGGCCAATCAAGAGGTGTAATGTGGTGCTTAGGTGGAGGGCAGAGGAGCTCCATAGTTTGATTTGGATGAGCTGGCCTCTAGGTTTGATTTGGGTGAGGTGCCATGGGAGTGGCTCTCGGTTTCGGACTTTTTCGGCCACTAGGCTGGCAGGCTGGCCAGAGGGAGGTGGCTAGGAGCTCAGGGAACCCAGAGGAATCCATCACAGCAATTTAATGCAAATGTGCTTGGATTTGGCAAAGATATCTTAAGCATGTGCATTTTTGGAAATAAGATCCCTTAATTTAGGGAACCTTTGGTCCATGGCTTGATTTAGATGATTTCATGGTGTTTGGACTGGTCACTAAGTCCAACTAATGACTGTGGTGGAGTTAATTTGGTGGCCTTAGGGTGGTTAGGTCACATTTAGTGTATGGGTCCAAGTGGGTGAAAATGATTAAAACTTGGGTTTGGGCTAGGTTAGCTATGTCAATTGGCTCAATTAATTGTTGAATTTGATTTAGATGATCACAAGGAACAACTTTGGTGAAGGATGAAAGTGGTTTTGAGCTCAATTGGCGGGCCAATTTGAGGGAATTTTGAACTTTAATCAATTGGGTCATGTTAGGCTAGGCTTGGGTCTAGCTTGGCTTAGCCTTGGG